GAACAGTGTTGTAAATACAACGTAACCACTGATTTCTAGTCGTGTCCTCTTTTGGAAGGCCAAACAAAGTAGGTTCACTTTCACAACGAAACACAGCGTCACGCGTGGCGGCGGGCTAGAGTGAGCGGAGGCGGGTGGGCTTGAAAACAGCGCGGCTGGCGGATTCAACGAAGGAGCGGCCGGAGGGCTTGCGGCTACCACATGTAACGACCCCGGGCTGGACTCCGCTTCGTCCACGGTGAAAGCCGATCCGGCGATCCACAGCGCGAACGAGCCGTTTTAGGTAGGCGTGGTTGACTTAACTTTTATAAAGAATATCTGTTTGGATTTGAGACTTTAGTCTTTGCAACTTTACAGATCTTCTTTATGCACCAAGAGCTTGTAACACTCCAAAGAGAAAGGAAAAATTGAAATCGCATCATATGACCCCTTTAACATTGTGTCATATCAGTCAGAAAAGCAGTTCTGGGCTTTTTTCTTTTTTTTTTTTTTCTTTTAAGCTAATGTAGTTAGTTGTTATTCTTGGCTGAATAACTCTAGAAGGTTTTCAAAAGCCCTTTAAAATTAAATATGTACACAGTTTGGATTAAATGAAAGTATAGTCAAATTTTTTAATTAGCATGTTTTTGTGTTTTGCTTTGGTACCAAAATTGCTACCGAGAACCGTGGATTTTCACTGGTATTGGTACCGAATACTGTCATTTTGGTACCATGACAACACTACTTTGTATATAGCTTTGGTTGTTTTTCTACTGGGACTGTTTCACCTCTTGATCACTGTAAATAAAATATCACTTTACACTTTAACAGCTCTGCAAGTATTGGTATCATTTTGGGGGGGATTTTTGGAACATTTGTCTTTTTTCTTGTTTGTTTTTTTTGGGCATTTGTGAACCCATTTTTGCCTGCGAAGACCCGTTGTCCCACAATGTCTTAATTCATCTGGCTGAAGTTCATGTATGCTTGACTGAGTGAGTCATTAGTTTTAGACGGAAATGACCTACATGTCTTTGTTTATAATAGTTTTCATTCTATGTCTTATCTCATAGTGTCCTCTCTTACCAAGTAGAATTGTGTTTACTGCTGTTCAGGAGTATGCTACTCGGACACCCTCAAAAGAATGCAAACAGTGTTACAGTGCAATGTACCAGTCGGCACAGTCCCTTTTAAAGTTAAAAGGCTTGCTAAATATTAATGAACTTTATAGCCATTACAGTCCTATTTGTTTACTCTGCTGACTTTTTTTCTCTGTGGTTTGATAGGTAGTTAATCCTTATTACTTACGAGTGCGGAGGAAAAACCCAGTCACTGGAGTACATACAAAGATGAGCCTCCAGCTCTACCAGGTGGACAGCAGGACCTATTTACTAGACTTCAGGAGCATAGACGGTAAAATTGTCACTCTGTGTGTGGTTTTATTCAATGCTTTAAATGTGTTTTTTTATTTTCTTTAATGCTTTAATTTATAATAAGTAATTTAAAAATATAAAAATGTATACATAATCAAACATATGAGAATATGAACTGCACAGGGTGGTTACTGAAGAAATTTGACTGTTGAACTGAATGCAAATATAATTTTCAGGATGTCCAAACTGTTGCTATGTTATTCATTACTTAAGTCTTGTGAGGCTGTGATGGTGTAGTTGTTCATTTGACAACATGTACAAATACACATTGAGTTTTGTAATCAATGGTTTTTTATAAAAATGAATGTAATTTTTTGTTGTATATGTGTATATTCTTAATTGTTAGGTAACACTTTAGATTAGGGAACAAGCATTCACTGTTAACTAAGAGTTTTCTCTGAACAAACTCCTAATTTGCTGCTTTTTAATAGTTAGTAAGGTAGTTGTTAAGTTTATATATGGTAGGATTAAGGCATATAGAATGTGGTCATGCAGAATAAGGCATGAATATGTGCTTTATAAGTACTAATAAACAGTCAACATGCTAGTAATATGCATGCTAAAAAGCAACTAATTAATAGTTAGAATTGGTCCTTAAAATAAAGTGTTACCAATTGTTATATCATTTCTACTAAAATCTCAAATATTGTTTTATCAAATGTACTAAAATGAACCATAATCATTCCAGAAAAGGAATCATAAACGAAATTTAGTTCCCTATGATTCTCATTCCTATTGCGGAGTGTTCTTGAGAGCGATTTCTGTATACTTCACTCTCTGAGGTATTATATTCTGTTTCATTCAGATGACATGATAGAAGTAAAATCAGGGACCGCCACACCTCACCGCTCCGGCTCAGTTGGTAACTACCGGACTACCCTAAAGAACGATAGGAACGAGAAAAACGAATGTGAGGATGCAGCACAGGGTGACACGTCCGCACCCTCCACGCCTCCAATATCCGGAGGGAAAGCGGCGGAAGGCTCTCTGGCTTCTTCTCTTACCTCCTCAGTGGATTCCACAGGGGGAGAGATCCTCCCCCGCCCTGGAAGTCACACCATAGAGTTCTTTGAGATGTGCGCCAACCTCATCAAGCTGCTAGCACGATAACTTGTGGTTCCTCTGATGCCTTCTCTCTCACTCTCTAGCTTGTTTTCTCTTTCTTCTAGAATACTGTCTACCTCTTCATCCTCTGATATCTGTGTCATCATGCACAGCAGTCCTATCTCTATTTTTTTTGTCTCTTTTTTTTTTTTTCCCTCTCTCAGTGTCTTTAGAGCAATAAGCATGCGGACGGACTCAAGACTCCATGCATCCCACTCGCATGAACAAGCTGAATGGTCTGTGGCACTACAGTCACCAGGATGAGCCTGTTTAAGAGGACTGAGAAAAGGTACAAGAAGGAAAAGGATGGAGGTTTATTTGTGTGTGTGTGCCACAGTTAAGATATCAGAAAGATTGCTAAGCCACTTAATAGTATCTAAACTCTTTTAGCGATGGCTTTACAATTATTTTCTGGGTTTTATGGCAAGGATTTCCTTGCAGGGAGTGAGGCGTAGAGGTGCATTTAAATGAGTTATACACTGAGCTAGCTGTATTGTACACAATGCTGTTGCGATTCTTGGCGGACCAAGAAATGAATAAAGAAAGAGCCCTTATGAGGCATGTGGGACGACAAGTAAGATAGAAAGCGCTTTTGCACAGTTTTACCTGTAAGTTTTTGTGGGCCAGTGTCAGAACTGGTTATCCCATTGAAGCGGCCTACTGGGAAGAGCACTCGATTAGGAGGAGCCATCTTAAAAAGCAGGGCCAATTTAATATGGTGGGCACTTTAACACAAAGGGACAACTTGATACGTCAGCCTTTCTTAAGGAAGAGACCAATATGAAACCCGTTTATCCTGAGGGAGTGCAATGTCCTTGCCTCTGTTTCATAGATTTTTGTTTGTTTGTCACACCTTAGTCTTTTTTTCTATTTTCTCACATTTTACATAAATTGAAGTATACAGAATTTAAACATGCATTTGGATTTATATTTATCAGTGCTTTAAATGGGGTTGTAGATTGTATTAAAATAGTGATATTGGACTGAATTTTTTTTAAAGAAATGTTTGATTATATTGCTGTAAGACGTTTTATTCCATACACTGCTTTATCAAAAACGTCTTTTTTTTTTTTTACTATTATTTTAGTTGTTTTGAAAAAAAAAAAAGGTACTCCTTAAAGAAATCAAATGTTTATGTATTCCCTCTGCTTTTACAAATTAAGTTTCTGTAATCAGACGGGCCCAGTATTAAAACTGAATTTAGATTTTTTTTTTTTTTTTGAGATGTGTATCTGTGAAAACTTAAAAAAAAGATATTAAAAAAACATCTGAGGTGTCAAGTAAAGTTTATCACCACAATGAAAATGAAAGAAAAAAAGATAACATTAGAGTTGAAATATTGGCTCATACTGATTGATCTCCTGAGCAAATCATGTAGTCATGTCTTATTCCTGTCTTTGCAAAGCCAATGTGGAGTCATAATCGTAAGATCTGAAAATAGGAAAGTGCTTCCTACTTGCATGTGACTTTATGTGCCTTTGTATGAGACTGTGTAGTAAACGAAATTCTACAAAAGTCCACAAAGAAAAGAACCACAACCTGTTAACACGGAGTGAAATTATTTGATATAGGAGCTTATTGACAGGAGTGATCCTCTTCTTCAGATCAGTTTTTTCAACTTGTGTTTCACAGATGAAAATGAAAACAATATGGGTTTTAAATAAGTTGCTCTTGTTCATTTGCCTGTCCAGAGCTCCAGCTATGTTCAAATTAAATCCCAAATTCAATGCTAAAAAAAGCTAAAATATATAGTTTTAAATAATAAATTCATTCTATGGTTTGTATGGCATAGCTTATTTACATTTTAAAGTCTGAATGTCTTAACGCACATTCTTACCGCATAAAAGAAATAACTTTATTAGTCCTGATAAATGCAGTAGTTTCAAATTCTCAAAAAGAAAAGGAGATTTAAGGCCAGTAATTCTGATTTGACCTTTTGGAATTTTTTAGTCTTTGTTACATGTTAAGGTTTAGTTTCCTAAAAAGGATGATGTTGATTTTGTTCTAAACTGCACTAATTTCAGAGCTAAAACTTGACAATCTATGCTTTGCAAGTCAGCTTAAGACAAATCCAGAGAAATGTAGTTTTGCTCTGTCCCCTTTACCTTTCTTTTTTTCCAGAGTTTATTTCCCTGTGTAGTTGTCTAATTCAAATGTTAACTCTTCTTTATCACTATGGAACAATTTCAGTGTCTCCACAGGCTGTTTATTCAGCCATTGAAAACAAGTTTAGAAAATGTTTATGTTCTTCTCTTAACTGCATTTATGTTGATTATTTTTGCAGAGATGCACCTCATGGAGGCTTGCCAATGTAAATTTACAGATAATTACCAATAATTTAGTTGAAAAGATTATTTGTAAATACAACTGCCTAATAAAATGATACATGAAGACTGATGGTTTTGTGACTTCTTTTGAAAACATGGTGTATGTTGTGTGACTATATTTTTAAAGAAATGTTTGATCACTGTTTGATATCTTCAAAATTTATTCAAAAAAATAAACAGACATGAAAAGGCATGTATAGGCAAAAACAATGGTTTATATTTTTCATTCCCCAATCAGTTTTTATGTTTCAGGCTATTTTTAACCAAACTTTGTAAAAAAAAGATGATTCTCAACTATGTTATTAAAGATAAAACAGAATGATTTGATGTACTATTTTACTTTATGCAATATGTGTGTAAAATTTCCATAAATTAATATTCCTATTTTATTCAATGTATCTATACGCTGCATCTAATTTGCATATTAATGTGTTCTTGGTGCAAACCATAATGGAAAAAAGAAGTGTTATAATGGGAGTAATAACTTGGCAACATTTTCATAAAAAATCTCATATTTCATAGGAATATTGATATATAATTTCTGTCCCTATTAACTCAAAATGCCTGATTAACATGCCGTTTGTCCTGGTGTCCTCTACAAAAGACATATGAATGTTGTGCCTTGTTTCATATTCCGATTTGAAACCCCATAACATTTTCCTGAGATGTTTATTTACGACAAACAATTTGAAAATTAACCAGATTTAAATAATTACAAAATATTATCATATTTCCCTAAGAGTGCTGCATTTGATCATTCTGTCAATATCCGTCATTTTTAAAGGAGAAGGTGTGTTTATGATCAAACCTCCAAACATTTGATATCTCTAAAAAGCCCTGAATGTGCTCATCCAGACTCAAAACTGTCATGTATAGTCTCAGAGAAATTAACTAAAATAGTCAAAGTCTATAAATTCACCAAAAGTCTATGCCTGGGTTGTTGGGTTGTTATATGTGCCTATCCTACCCACGGAAGGTTAATGTGTGTTTAAAACGAACTATCCTGCACAATAACCTTGGAAATGATCAATAGTTGTTCTGTAGACTTTTGTAGACCTTAAGATACGTCTATACAGTAATAGTCTTTCTAAACAAACCCACTCTCATTCACTAAAGTAAAATGAAGGCGGTCTACCCTATGTGTAGGACTATTATTTATTGTATATCTTCTAATTCACAGATATTTGTACTTTAGAAAATAACCAGCAGATGTCGCTTTAATCTTGAAGACATTTGTCATTTGCGTTAACTAAAGTTTTGATATAACTTTCTTTTCTGATTTCTAAATTCTTAAATTTTGTGTAGGATGTACAGTATTAATTAAGCGACATTTTAATAATTTTGTTAAAAAATGCTATTTTTAAATCTAATTTATATTTATACATACCACATAAATATATACCATATAATAATAAATACATGTAGTTATTTTAAATTTAAATAGTAAGTACGAAGTAGTGCGCTATTCCGAACTGAAGCTGACAGACCTCTGCTGCAACACCTGCCGTAGTGCGTCATGGCGTAAGCATACGCATATACAGAGCAGCATGGTAAAGTTACCCCAGGACTGGCTGTTTACGCTAAGCATTCAAAACGGGAGCACTGTTTCAAGATAAACAAAAGTGTTCAGTTGTAAATGCAGAAGAAACGCTGAGCAGTGTTCGTATTCATTTCGGAAGCTGCGCTTCGCTCTGGTATGTAAACAACGGGCTCACCTGCACTAGTGCGGACGGGATATGTTTTTGGAAGTTATTAATTGCATTATTTAGTCGTTTCTTTAGGCAGTCTAACAATATTGCTGCAGATATGACTTTTTTGAGGGTTTAAATATATGTAAATATCATTAATGCTTCAGAAATATTATTTTAAAATATCCCAAGGCAAAGTAGAGTAATTAGTGCTACCAAAATAGAAAGTATTAGTTATTGCACTCTCTATTTAAGTTAGGTTTACATTAATGAAAAATGACTGGTAGCCTATTAGCTCTGGGCTCTGTGGTACAGCCAGTCTCAAATCAGTGTATAATCCAGTGAGTGAACGATAACGATAATTATATTAACAGTAACTATTAATGATAAATATATATTCAATTTTGGGCAAACTGTCCCTTTGAAGCATAGTTTTTACAGTTGCTGCAGCTGCAAGCAGGAGTGCCACTGAGCTATAACTAACAACAAGCAAAACCATACGTGTCCACCATGTAATGTCACTTCTTTCTGATTATGACCGAAATTAAGGATGAGAGAGACCCTGCAAAACAGGAGAAGCTTGCACTGTCACTGCAGACAGATATCTGAAACATGAGACCTGCTTTGGGTAAAGCATTGTGTATTAAACAGTATTAAAATATACTGGTCTGTACCAGGAGCAGATTATGTCCATTATTGCACAAATACATCTTTTTCCCCTTAAAGAATGCAATATCCAGTAAACCTAACCAGATTGCTTTTCCCTCTTTCATTGCATTTCAACAAAACAACCTTTGTTTGTGTTAAAGGATTACATTTGAGTTATTTTGCTAGAGTGCTGACAAAGTCAACAGAATGGACATTTGTTATTTAGTAATCAAGTTCATTTGTAGTCTTTGTAGTCCTTAAAGTAGGCTATGTTTTGTGCAAATTATATGCATATTAGATGCACAAATGATTTATCAAGTAGTTATTTCAGTTCATATTTGTTTTTCAGCAGTCTCTTTCTATACCAAAAAAATGATACAGCACTTCATCACTTTGTTGTTCTTTTTCATAAGTCATTTTTTTCATTCATTTTCTTAGTTGTTATTCTCAGGGATAACTTTATGCCCTAAAGCCTTTCATTCTTATATAATATATACGTGTGTGTTCATGGATCAGTGTGCGTCCATTCGTGCGTGTTGTGTCAATGTGTCCGTGTCCTCTCACTGCCAAGCAATTCAGCTGACACAATGCTTTACCCAAAGCAGGTCTCATGTTTCAGATATCTGTCTGCAGTGACAGTGCAAGCTTCTCCTGTTTTGCAGGGTCTCTCTCATCCTTAATTTCTGTCATAATCAGAAAGAAGTGACATTACATGGTGGACACGTATGGTTTTGCTTGTTGTTAGTTATAGCTCAGTGACACTCCTGCTTGCAGCTGTAGCAACTGTAAAAACTATGCATCAAAGGGACAGTTTGCCCAAAATTGAATATATATTTATCATTAATAGTTACTGTTAATATAATTATCGTTATCGTTTTATCGCCCAGCTCTTTCTCCATATATACAGTATATGACATAAGTTACTCACTCTCATGCCATTCCATACCCCTATGACATTTTTTTCCATGTATCACAAAAGGATAAATTTAAAGTAATGTAATAATAATAATAATACAACTTTATTGTCAACCCCAATGGTTGAAAATTATCTTTGACCACACCATTGACATCAGACATATAATATAACATTAAAACCACACGAATTTCAAAAAGACGTATCAGATCGTTCCACCTTAGTGTTTTGATTCAGATACCCAATTACTGCAGGTATAAATGAATTCTTATAGATGTTTCTCTCTGCCCTGGGCATTAAATAACGCCTTCTGGAAGGCAATAAGACAAACTGATCATTTAAAAGATGAGTAGCATCTTTCAGAATGCATTTAGCTTTCCCAACACATCTTAAAATTTACACCTGGTTCAAGGTTCTCTGTGGCTTACCAATGACCTTGCTCGCTATATTGATGACTCTAGACTTTCTGACTGGAAGACCTCAGGCAGTTCGGGTCGGCAGCAACACATCCAGCACCATCACACTGATGCCATGTGCCTTGTGCTGCTTATATATTTTTTTACATTTGACCTTATTTGTATATTTGTATAGTTGTATTTTATATTTAATCTGTATCTATCTGTATTTATGTTCTACTGTTAGTGTTATCTGTATGCACCAAGGGTCTGCATCAATGTGCTGTACATGTGGAAGAATTGACAATAAAGCAGACTTGACTTGACTAGTTAATATAT